CTGCTGTTAATTCAACGATAGTCCTAATATAAATTTTTCGAATGTCTCTATCCTGGGCTACATTCCCATTGAGCGGAGGACTTTTATTACTCTTATAAATCCGCGTTTTTGGCAGTTTGATAAGCCACAAATGAGTTCGGGCCAATAGGTGTACCCATGGAACTTTCCTTGCCCAATTTATCGGCCTCTTCGTTGCCCCTCTTCCCTGTGTGCTCTTGCAGACAAGGGTAATTTTGTTATTTTCCCCAATCGGTCAAAGTTCTAATGCAGTCCCAAACGACTCTGGACTTTACCGTCGATGCGGCAATCGCCTTCAGTGCCGCCTGGCTGTCCAAGTTCTATTTTTCTCTTGATAATCCCCAGCCTTTTTATCTACCACGCACAGTGTTCAATACACATACAATGAAATGTCACAATTTCAGCTTGAAAAACTGGCATATTGTCCAAGGGTTATATGCATTCTACTCCTTGGTTTTTTCCGTAAATGCCAGCTCCTGACCCATATTTGGTTTTGGAGCCATCTGTAAACAGATAAGGTCAGCATTTACTTGGATCCCTTTTTCCCAGTCTGCTCTACAAGGTATTTTGATTAGAAATTTTTTCTCAAAACTGAATTTAGGGTCATGGCATTAGTAGGCGTCCTCAAAGTTCAGTTTAGCTGAAGCTCCCCTCGAAGCATTACTTGCTTCTTGTTTCCTTGTTATGTCAGTAGGCTATTGGATCCTGTCCCTTCGTTAGCCTATGAATTGTGGCTCTGGCCTCTCCCTGGATAAAGATGGTGGAGTGGTGGTAGACTCAGAAGGTAAAAAACACAAACGAACGTTTTAGATATTTTCTGTGGATCTTACTCGCCATTAACTATTTAAAAGCTCCGCCGTACTAACCTACTATGTAAATTACAGTTACAAATTTAAAAAAATCCTGTTAAAGGGTATGAACTGATAGATAATAACATAATGTTAACCCTTCCTTCAAAGGACCTAAATAAAAAATAAACGTTATCTTCTTGTAATTACGTTTCTTATCACATTTCGGTTTTTATATTATTCAACGATTTGTTTTATTGGCGAAATGTTGCGAAATTGAACTGCGCAGGCACTTAAATATAATTTAAATTTATGATTTCCAGAGTTTCATCAAAGACAGGTCCCGAGACAGCCGATTAAATACACTTACCGAGGAAAAGCTGCTTAAGTTACTTAATAACGGTGGGATGGTACGTATGACTCGGTATATTCTCTAGTTATGACATTTTCAATATAATCATCTGTCTCTAAGGAAAAAAAACGTTTGTGACTGAGGAGAGATTAAACGACGAAATGTAACATGAATTGTGGCCATATTTGAACTGGTATGTAGATACCCTGATGTGAGTTTGAAAGATATTATAGAAAAATTGTTTTAGATAGAAATACAGGTTTTTTTTCCCGACAAATGGCCTATTTTTATCGCTTCAAATGAACTGTTTTTAAGTTCAAATTAGCCCGTTTTAATTTTGTTAACCCTTTTTAGTTCAAATTAACTAATCTAATATCGAAATTTTAGGCATCGCGTAATATGATAACATGATTAATACCAAATAATAGGTTTTATTTTTTTTAAACGTTTAATTATAAAAAAAAAACACGTTTATTACATAGTATATTTTTGAAACGGTTGATTTTCCGAGATAAATCAATATCGCATTTTAATCTGCATTCACTGGCAATTAAGCTTGTGAGAATGTTGCTGTAGTTAAGTAACTTTAAAAAAAATATTTTTATAGTGCCATTAACCCAAGATTGTAATAAGTGCTAGTTTTTTACCTTTCTCCTGGGTCGTCAGAGGTCATTAGTGATCTCGACAAGCTAAGTTTTGTAAACGGTGTAGTTTCGAGATTTTGTAAAATTGTTCTAAAGCAGGACTTTTTTCATTTCAAGAAAACGATATATTTACTTAGGAAATTTGGGAAAGTGTATCATCAGACTATATCCACTTTTTTGTCGAACTTAGGAACTATTAGGAACACTTTAAAAATTTTGCTCCTTCACACACGCGCGCACAGAGAGATAGATAGATAGATAGATAGATAGATAGATAGATAGATAGAGAGAGAGAGAGAGAGAGAGAGAGAGAGAGAGAGAGAGAGAGAGAGAGAGAGAGAGAAGGACTGTCCGTCTCTTTTTTTCTCTCCCCCTCTCTGTCAGACTGTCTTTATTTCTCGCTCTCTCTTTCTCTCTCTCACTTAGTCNATTCCACTTTTTTGTCGAACTTAGGAACTATTAGGAACACTTTAAAAATTTTGCTCCTTCACACACGCGCGCACAGAGAGATAGATAGATAGATAGAGAGAGAGAGAGAGAGAGAGAGAGAGAGAGAGAGAGAGAGAGAGGGAGAGAGAGAGAGAGAAGGACTGTCCGTCTCTTTTTTTCTCTCCCCCTCTCTGTCAGACTGTCTTTATTTCTCGCTCTCTCTTTCTCTCTCTCACTTTCTCTCTCACTATCTGTCAGTCTGATTTTCTCTCTCTCTCTCTCTTTTTTTTTAAAGGTGTTCCTAATAGTTCCTAAGTTCGACAAAAAAGTGGATATAGTTTGATGACACACTTCCCCAAATTTCCTATGTAAATACATCTTTTTTTTTAAATGAAAAAGGTCCTGCTTTAGAACAATTTTATAAAATCTCGAAACTACACCGTTTACAAAACTTAGCTTGTCGAGTTCACTAATGACTTCTGACGACCCAGTAATTACATGAAGATAACGTTTATTTTTATTTAGGTCCTTTGAAGGAAGGATTAACATTATGCTATTATCTCTCAGTTCATACCCTTTAACAGGATTTTTTAAAATTTGTAACTGTAATTTACATAGTAGGTTAGTACGGCGGAGCTTTTAAATAGTTAAGGGCGAGTAACAGATCCATAGAAAATATCTAAAACGTTCGTTTGTGTTTTTTACATTCTGAGTCTACCACCACTACACCATCTTTACCCAGGGAGAGACCAAAGCCACAATTCATAGGCTAACGCAGGGACAGGCTCCAATAGCCTACTGACATAACAAGGAAACAAGAAGCAAGTAAAGCTTCGAGGGGAGCTTCAGCTAAACTGAACTTTGAGGACGCCTACTAATGCCATGACCCTAAATTCAGTTTTGAGAAAAAATTTCTAATCAAAATACCTTGTAGAGCAGACTGGGAGAAAGGGATCCAAGTAAATGCTGACCTTATCTGTTTACAGATGGCTCCAAAACCCAATATGGGTCAGGAGCTGGCATTTAAGGAAAAAACCAAGGAGTAGAATGCATATAACCCTTGAACAATATGCCAGTTTTTCATGTGCCCTCATTGTCTGTCAGTCTCTCTTTTCCTCTCATTTTCTCTCTCACTCTCTCACTGTCTGTCAGCCTGTCTATATATCTCTCTCCCTCTCTCACTATCTGTCAGTCTCTCTTTGTCCCTCTCTCTCCTTCTCACTTTCTCTCTCACTCTCTCTTTCTCACTGCCTGTCAGTCATTCTGTCTCTCTTTTTCTTCGCAAAAAATATCCTTATTTATTTATTGTATTTATCTATCGTATAAATAAAAATTAATCTTAAGACTACAACTTGACAATGGAAAATTTTATTTACAAATCTTTTCCCCCTCTATCTCGCCCTGTCTGTCAGTCTGTCTTTATCTCTCGCTCTCATTTTCTCTCTCACTCTCCCTCTCTCACTGTCTGTCAGTCTCTGTTTGCCCCTCTCACTCCCTCTCACTTTCTCTCTCTCTCTCTCTCTCTCTCTCTCACCCCTCTCTCTCCCTGTCTGTCAGGATGTCTTTATCTCTCGCTATCTCTTTCTCTCTCACTATCTGCCAGTCTGTCTTTCTCTCTCACTCTCCCTCATTGTCTGTCAGTCTCTCTTTCTCTCTCTCTCACTTTCTCTCTCATTCTCCCTCTCTCTCACTGTCTGTCAGCCTGTCTTTATCTCTCTACCTGTCTCACTGTCTGTCAGTCTCTCTTTGCCTCTCTCTCTCTCTCTCTCTCTCTCTCTCTCTCTNCTCACACACACACACACACACACACACACACACACGCGCACACGCACGCACGCACGCACGCACGCACGCACACACACACACACACACAAAATCTATCTGTTTCTCTCTGGTATTTTCTAGTACGAATTTGAACATCCTTAGCCCCTATACATTATGCCGAAGAGGGAGTTCCATAAGGCAGCATCGTTGGTCCCATTCCTTATTCAGTATAATTCCCAGGCAATCCTATGAATCCAATATATTATTCCTTACTTATCCGGATACAGATGATACCGCCACCATTTCAACAAATCCAGACCCAATAGCCATTCGTAGTGGCATTGCGAAACCTCTTGTTTAGAAGAATGGTTCTAGAAATGGAGGATCATACTCAACGAAAACAACAAATAACATTAACTTTAAGTCGTACTGCCTCATCCTCGTCCCTCTCAGATCATCTAATATTGACCGCTATTTAGGGCTTCAAGTCGTAGTCTTAACCCCACATTCAAGTCAAAAAGGAAGGACAGCAGAAGATTTAAACTACTCTAAAGACTACTTGACAGTATGTATTACTACTACAACCCATTTGAACGTACAAAATTGAACTAAGGGCTTCAACGAATCGTTCCAACCTACAAAGAACACATTCACTCCAATCCACAATTCTTCGAACCGTTGCCTAAGCTCCCTTCTCTAAATCTTACCTTACTATCCATGAGACTTTCAAATCCACTTTGAACTCAAACCGCAGCAAGTCGATACAGTCGCCCTTTATAAAACCCTGGATCTTCATCCCCTTGAAAACCTTTCATCCCGAACCTTTCCCGTCAATTCTCGCAAAATTCCATTTCACCGGCGTACAAGTTAGCACCGAAAAGAATTCCCGAAGGATTAATCGTGAAATGTCAACATGGATCAGACGTTTTTCGACCTTTTGCCGATGAGTTGTGTCACATGAAAGAAAAAGGCTGAAAATATTACAGATCTATGGATTCAACTGACTTGATTTAGCTGCTGTGGAATCTGTTCCAAACGAATCTTTCTTTCTGCATACAGCCTGCAACACATCACGTTCTTCATAAAATAATAAACTGTTGAGATATAATTAAAATAAAATATATACATTTTCAAAAAACAGCTAAATAAAACAATTCATTTCATATTTCAGGCATTCCATATTAAGGCAGATATTTCTTTGGGTAAAATCCTAAATTTATTTTGTTGTAAAAGCTACTTTTTAGTTTATAAACCTCCCGAAAAAGGCAGAAACTAATTGTTACGTGCACCAGCTATATATGTAATATTAATATTAATTGGAGGATTTAGGTAATAATAATTGCTTATCGGGGAAGCGAAAAAGTCGATTACGCCAGATTGTGAGACAACAAATATTAATTGGTCGTCAAATGATTACTGTCATTTTAATTATTGATAAACATATACAAATCTGTCGGATTGAAAATTACGCGCTCTCCCTTTTTTCGCCATTTAAGACATTGTTTGCATTCTTTGGATCGCATTATCTCGCTGTTCGCCCTTGGTGAGGGCACATTTACGGCTTACTACGCTTTCAGAGTCCTGACGGAGCCAAAGGTCGGATTTTTGTATTTATTATTTTTTATTATAAAACATTGCTCATAAATATGTAGTTTACAATTTTGGAGAAGCAACTGACATTCTAGGAAATAGTCTTTTCTGTTTCGTTGGTATTGGATTTACGATTGTACACCAGCCGATCATTAGAAAGTTGATCCTTGTCGATCCTTTACACGTCCCAAACCAAAATGGATAAGTGGATAAACAAAGAGATTTAACTGACTGATTGAATACTCTGTAACAGACCAAGACGTCGTCCCACAAGGGTACATTCGTGGCCCTATCCTGTCTCCCATTTATACGACGGACATTCTTATCCTAACATTGTCATTATGATAAATGCGAATGGCATCGCGATTCTGTCTTTTAACCCGAATCCTAACCAAGAACACTTTTAGATTATCGAAGACTGGTGCAAAAAGTGGTAGGCAAGACTACCAGTACATTTATTGGAAAACAGTCTTGTCTTCCGATGTACATCAACAACGAAGAACTACCGACTTCCACTCAAATCTTGGGACTACACTTAGTCACTACTCTAACATACAATATTACTGACACTACTTTGGACAGACATATGGAAAGAACGCAGGTCGTGGCCATTGGAGGTACACAAAAGGACAAAGCACATTCAGAGAGGTTAGTCGGGGCAATCGTTTGTATACATTTTACATCTTTTCGATATTTATATCTTATATCTTCATGAGAATATCTTTTCCTTTAAAAACGATAGAATTAGCATGTATCAGACAAATAAGGCTAAAATTTACAGAGCAATCGCTCGTGGAACCATGACAAAGAACCTTTACGGGACACCGTATCATCTCTTTTTTTTGGCAAATTTCATCAAAATCTCTTCGATTACTCTGTAAAGTCGTTGGGTATCCATATCCAAAACTTGTGGAAAAATACCCCATGCATAAGGCAAGCTAATTGATTCATAGAAGGGCAATCCGCAAGACTTACAAGGGTATTACTGGAGGGTAGCGCAATTGAACCAGGATTTTGGTTGGGCTCCGTCATGGCATAGGAGTACAGACACAGAAACACAGTGCAGATCCTTCCAGAATGAAGAAGAGACCACAGAACACGTTTTATGAATTTGTGAGAGTCTATGTACGTGCAGATTCTTACAGTGTTCAAAACTAGGAGAGGAAAAGCCGCTAGCCAGATCCTACACCAAGGAGCTCTTGCAAGGCTATGGAGGTTGATTAACAACCTTATGCTAGCCAGTGACTTATAAAATTAAAGGAGTACAAAATATCTACTCAGGTCGAAGTGCAGAAGGCGTTGTGGCCACGTATTCTGTACCTATTTCTATCCCTATCCGATTCCGACACGAAACCCATGGAGATTCCCGTATGAGAATGGGCAGTTGTAAATATGCCTTTTTTATACGATGGTTTTTTAACTATAGGTTATATCAACGCCTCGGGGTGCCGGTAACTTTGAGAAAAAGAATCTATTTGTAAAATCCCGGGTTCGAATTCATGGCCATGAATTCGAACCTGGGACCTTCCAGTGATGATAGTGGCGGCTATGGTCGCCCTTCTGTACCTTATTATATTAATCGATTTAATCTAGAGGTTAAACTTTAAATACTTTATTGAGAATTGGCTTTGAATTGACCATGGATGGAAAAGGAGAAAATAAGAAATCTCGTCTTGAAGAAAACCCGCAGAGTCGGATTGTTAACCGGGCGTAGCCTATCGTCTCCCGTCGTTCTCAGTCTTTTCCCGCGGCTAGCGTTTTTCTCACAATTTCCATTTTCCCAGTCGGCCGATTCGATCGCGGGTGGCTGGTTCCCAACGGATTTGCGCAACGGACGAGGATTAGGAGTTGGAGGAGAAGAAAGTCTTGCGACGGAAGAAGACGATTGCGACAGGAATGAGCTTCTTTCGGTGCGGATCTCTCCTTGACCTGACCAATTTCGAGGAAATCCCTTCAACACATTCGTCTCCGAGAAATCCTGGCAAGTTGGCCGAGTTATTAATATGCAGGCATTAATCTGAGCCTGTAATTGAGGATGTTTTTGCAAAGATCGGGGCTCTTCAATTCAAAAAACAAGTCTTTACAATGTTTAAAAGATCATGTGGGCGTTCATGTGCCAAGAATGTTCGTAATTTATATCAACTAGAGTTTAAAATTTAAGATTTAAAAAACTATTTCAAATATCTATATTATCCTGTAGTAATTAAGCCGTAAATCATTTGTATTTGTACCGTTTGTTTAATCTTGTTGGTCACGGCCTCTAAAATTATGCCAAGAAAATATTTTTAAAACATTTCTTTTCACTATACGTTTCATATGAATAGAGATAAACTGTTAGAGCTTTGTTTGTCCCTTTCATTTTCCTTTCTCTTTTCTCCCTCAATATCTATTTTAAACACGGATTTGTCATTATTCTGGTATAGGTTCGTTTCAAATAAAACTTTTTTTTAACTCTTTGATGGTCGTCGGTGAAGCACATGTGCGAACAGGGATTCGACCTGTTGGAAAACAGACAGGAACTTGACGATCAAAGGGATGAAATTGGCCCCGAAGGTTAAACGGGCGGTTATTCAATAATGGCTTCTATTTATAAATGCGGTCAAAAACCTTGCTGCGGGAAAACAAAACTCATCTATTTCCGAATGGATTCGTTTCGAATCCATAATTAATTTTAATTGGCAGGAGAAAAGATTTGTTTGCCTTAAAACATCGAGGACAAGCGCCCTTCCACGAAAATTATGCCATTGCATAAATCATGGTTTCTCATAATAGTCGACACTTAGGCAACTCGGCCCAGTAATTCATGACTACAAATACACAAACTGTTTTTCTAATTTTGAGCTTTTACGCTAGTTTATGCTTACAATAAATATATCATTTTTGAAAAACATACATAGATTCGTCCACACTCTCACAACGCAGAATTAGTGAGGTTACGGCGTTAGGGAGGATTTAGGTTAGGTTATATACAGTTAGTGTTGGGACGGTTTAGGTTAAGTACGATTAGGTTTAGCGACGGATTAGATTACATATTCATGATTCAATGTTTATCTATGAAGCTTAGATTGGGTGAGTTTGGCCGTCTAAACAGGGAGCTACTAAAAAAAAAAATACGTAACTGGTTTTTGACTTGAATCACTAATCAGTTACTAACTCATTAGTGAAACGGATCCACACACGAAGCTACTAAAAAAAGATCGAAATTAATAGTTTCTTTAGTGAAACAATGTAAGGAACATTTATCCCAGTCTTTGTGTGTTGACAGTTATGACTTATGCGATGTCAAATTTACTAGCATCACTAAAGAAGAGAAAGAATACGAAGAAGGTTTTGGGTTCAAGCGTTTTACCATCTTCACGCCTGCCTATTCAATTTCGTTTTTGTTTGAGTATCGTTGAGTATCGAGGAAACGAACAGTTTTATAAAACAGGATTTTTTTCAACTGTACAACAAATGTTCACCTGTTGATCGCCCATCTTGAAAATCACACCAAACTTCATTCGCAAGTGATTAATAATGAGTCACTAATCAGTAGAGTTATCTGCGGTGTCCCATTAGTAACTAATGGGACACCGCAGATAACGTATTGAGCCACTTCCAATGTAACTGTTACATTGGAAGTGACACAATTCGGACTGGACGGCTATATTGTTAAGTTTAGGTCAGGTTAAAGTAAGTCTACAAACGGAGCTATTAAAAATAAAACTCAATCGTGGTTAGTGTCACGTACGGCCTAGGTTGGTTGTATAAGGTTAGTGTTGGAGACGATTTAGGTTAGGTTATGTAGGGTTAGTGTTGGGGACGGTTTATGGTAGTTTAAGTAGGTTTAGTGTGGTCGATGGTTTTCACTAAGGTTAATGCTGAAGACGGTTAAGGTTAAATTTGGTATTGCTAGTGTTGAAAACAGTTTAATATTAGATTATGTAGGGTGAGTGTTACGCGTTGTGTGCGTTATGCTAACATAAATACATCATTCTTGAAAAACGTATGTGCATGCATTGGTCCAGAAAACAAAAAAATAAGGCACTTTATTTAGTTCTATCTTGCCAACAGCAGAGAGGTTAAAATTAATCAAAACGAGTTTATACGGTTTGTCATTCATATCCTGTCATTATGACGAGAGTGGAGTCTTGGACTACCCAGTGTTGCAAAAAATGTCTTACAAAACAATTTTGCTTCTTCCATTGACTTTTATGGAAATGCATTTTCAGCGGAGCATATAAGAGAGAATAAACTAAGCTTACTTTTAAAAAGATAGTTCCTACTCACAGTAAGTTGTTTTCAAAGATCCGGATTTCGAGCGTATCATCAGCATCAACAGATTGAAGGAGTTGTGATCGTTGAAAACAACTTACTGTGAGTAGGAACTATCTTTTTAAAAGATTCACTAATTTCGTAGTCCGCTTGACTAGTATAATATATTAGTATAATATAATATATTATAATATAGAGTATAATATATTATAATTA